TTTCCCCTTTTTTTTTGCTTTAATGTGGCATCGGTATGCAACATCCCTTAAGTGGAGCTAACCAACTGCAAATAATTAGAAGACATTTTACAATTCCAGCAACTAACAGAGACCTCTAAATTTGACACATTAATATATACATCTAGATCTTCTCAGCCAAATATTTGTGAAATAAGAGTGGGGGGCTGAGAGAAATATCCAGATAAAAATATTGGGGAGAAAGTGAAGCATCTCAAAGAAATTTTGTTAAAATTTTGTATTCCCTCCAGCCAGATCTTAATACAAAACACTTTGTGCAAAGTAACAGTTTATTGTTACCTGCAATTTTTACCCTAATTTCTCAGGTGGAGTGCACCATTTTCCAAAATTAGTTAGTCCTCACTAACCTCCGATAAAGCAGCATAAGGCTGGTTTTTTCTAGCCCCTATAAAATCCCAAATCAAGTCTTAGGTTTTAATATACTGGCATGAGGCTACACAGAGAGCCAGGATTGTTCTGCATAACAAATTATTCCAAAACTTGTTGTTTTAAAACAACAATTAAATTCCTTTGTACGTGATTTTGTGGATCATGAATTGGGGATGGGATTGCTACAGATCTCCCTGGCAGTGAACAACTAAACTATAATCACCTGAAGGCCCAACAGGGCTGGGTGTCCAAGATGGCACACTCAGTGGCTGGCAGTTGACACAGGCTTTTGCTTTGAAGCTCAGATGGGGCCAGTGGCTGCAGCAAGCACTATACACAGCTTCTCTGTGGAGTCTGGACTTCTCACAGCCTGGCAGCAAGATTCTGAGAGTAAGTGTTCCAAGAAACAAAAGCAGAAGCCACATGGCCTCTTCCTCCCTAACCTTAAAAGTCACACGTGTTGCTCCCACTGCATTCTAATGGTCTCAAGTGGGTCACTGAGGCCACTTTTAAGATTTAAGGGGGGCAGGAATTGCTCTGCCTCTCAGTTTGAAGCATCAAATTGTCTATGGCAAGTTGTAAAATCTGTCACAGCACCATCAGAAATTATTTCCCCCAGTGCTGACGATAAATAGCCTGGGCTACAAGGCAATCCCACCCTTTCCCATAGATATTGTTAACTAAAACCACCCAGAAGTGTTGCTTCAATACCACTATGGCACATTGAGAATTGGAATGGCTTTTTAAGGTTGGTACCCTCTTCACTCAGCATTGTCATAGACACAAAAGAGATTCACCACTCATACTTTGCCTTTTGCAGGAGTGGTATTCAAAATATTTAGCAAAAGCATGGCATGGGCTCTAAAATTAGACTGGATGGCAGGTACAAATACTTAGTATCCCATGATTGTCTAATTGCTCTTGGTCACAAAGAAGACAGTCTTCAATAATCTATAGGTTCCTAAGGATCAAACTTCATTATTATTTCCCTCATACCAGTTAAAATAATCCTAGATCTGAGGTTTATTACCTGGTCATCCTTGGACAAGTTACTGAATCATTCTGCAAAATGTGCTGCTTCTCGTACAGAATTTGAATAACAGTAACTTAACAGAGTTATTATAGGCTTCATTGAGATGATATGTGTAAACTAACATTAGTAGGGTTAAGATAAAAGGATACAAAATATAGGCCTTAAAATGTATAATGCCTCAAACACAAAACATTTCTTATTCATATGATGAGGAAAATGAAACTAGATAAACTCTTGCTTCATATGGTGATTTGTACACTATATTAGTCCATTTTCTGTTGCTATAGGAAAATACTTGAACCTGGGTACTTGAGCTTACAGTTTTAGAGGCTCACAGACCAAGATCAGGAGGCACCATCTGTTCAGGCTGTGATGAGGGCTTCCTTGGCTAGATCCTAATATGGCAGAAAAATGAAAAGAGAACCAACTACATGTAGATGGGGCCAGGCATGTCAGATGGCCTCACTTTATAACAACCCACTTTCTAAAGAAAGTGGTGATAATGCTGGTGAGACCAGCATTATGCTCCCAGTGACTTAAAATACCTCCCAGTAGACCTCACCTCATAATAGTTCTACCACCTCAACACTAGGTGAAGTGAACACCTCGTCTCCCGCATAAGAACCTTTGGGGAACACACTCAGACCATATCCAAACCACAGCAATTACCCAGACTCACTCTGTATTATGGCTCTAACGCCATGTCATCACCTGCATCCAGCCCACAAAGGGAGAGAGTGGGGAGAGAAATCAGAGGATGTACATGCATTCATTTAAAAGCCTTACCTGGTGGTGGCACACATCACATCCCCTCACGTTGCTAATGGAGAGGATTTGGTCAAGCCTACTGCAAGAGAATCTAGGAAATGTCATGTAGCCGTGCACCCGGTGATGAGTGTTACTCTAGGGGAAGTAGGAACTGGATTCTGATAGATTGCTTGAATTCTCTGCCTTAGTACTGGTATAGTGGTTATTTCTTGTGATGAGTAGCTAGTACGTATTTTCTGGTTACTTGAATGATTGAGCAGAGTCAAGGAAGAAGAAAGAAAGAAAATTAATGATGCATGGTAGAAATAAGAATAGAGATGAGTGTTGAAAGAGAATTGTGTGAAAAAGTGGTACACATCATGAAACGTATAGAGGGAGAAACTTACACCTGATACAGGAAGAGATACTACAACTGGACTCTGATAAAGATCTTACACCAGGGTCCCTAAGCATACGCACAAATTAAGTTTATGACAACCACAGCATCCAGACCATTGGAGAGTCTCGTTGTGATCATCACACTCAGAGTTGCCAAAAAAAAAAAAATCCTCTTGCCTTAAACTTCAGGTTGTTTTAAGTATTTAATCTGAACTAATTTGAATTCTCTGCTTCGAGTGGGTTAAGGGCCTGAAGAAAAAGCCTGCCACTCTGCATCTGAGGAGTGTGCTAAATTCTCATTGATGGTAATTAGCATCCAGCTTCTTTACTCTGCCCATACAGTATTTTCAAATCAATTGCTCAGCATTAGTGCTTCTGCAGGGATTGATTTAATAGTCTAATATGAAGTCTCAGCCCTTCTGTACAGGTTAATTACATGTGGTCTTATACATTCTAATTTAAAATACTGCCTTTGCAATTATCATCAGCACTAAAACAGAGCACTAGTAATGAAGCTGGGCTTGAATTTTTTTTCAGAAGTAATGAATTGAAAAACCAAAATGAGTTTAATTTCTTTGGCACTTACCATTTCAATCTCTCTTCTCCTCTGTAGAAAATATAAATCAGGGTCTCTTCCTTGTTTCAGACTTAGGAAAACAGGCAAGATTGCCTTAAAGAAAGCAAAAGCCTTTGATTGTGAAACAATCAAGAATTGACTGTATAGATTTTGACCAGCCAGAGGGTTACTTTCTCCTGCCTGCATTTCCTGGTTATGGATGAATTTAAGTGTGAATTTATGTAGCTGACCAACACTAGTACTGTGTTTAGTCTGTGGCAGGTATTGCTCTACATAGAGCTTTATAGATACAAATAATACCATACTGGTACTATATCAATAACCCAGATATAGCAAAAAATGACTCCAAAATTCCCCACTTAAAACAACAAACATTTAGATGGGCATGATGGCACAAGCCTGTAATCCCAGCACTCGGGAGGCTGAGGCAGCAGGATCACGATGAGTTCAAGACCAGCCTGGGCTACATAGTGAGTTCCAGGTCAGTCTCACCTACATAGTGAGACCCTGTCTCAAAACAAAACAACAAAAAACAACAACAGCAACAACAACAAACATTTATTATCTCATAGTTTCCATGGGTCGGGAATTTGGGAGAGGCTTAGGTGATGTTTCTGGCTTAGGGTTTCTCACCAGGATGTAGCCAGACTATTGTCCATGGCCATATACTTCTGGACTAGACAGGCCTCAGCCTCTTTAAAGATACCCGAATGTCCTCACCACATGGCATCTGGCTTGCCACAGACCAAGTGATCTGAGAGACGAGAGAAGAGGAAGGAAGGAGGGAGGGAGGAAAGGAGGGAGGAAGAGAATGACTTAAAGACAGAAAACCAAACCAAAACTGCAATATCTTCTGTGATCTAACCGGAAGTGATGCATCACCCCTTGTTCTGTACTCTATAGATCCTGCAGAAAACCCTGGTAAAATAAAGAAAATAATTGCCCGTGGAGGTGAATTGCAGGAGATGGGTATTCTTGCTCACTGGCCTGGCTACCACAAGTAGGTATTATCATTATTCCTGATCCATAGGTAGATGAAGCAATTAATACAAAGATAGGTGAAGTAACTTCCTCATGGTCACTATTAATAAATGATAGAGCCAAGGCTTGACTCTGACTGGTCCGACTCCAGGATCCACCGCTTATACACAAAAAGGTGTCCACTCATTGAATGTAACACATGGTTCAAAAGCAGCTGATAGACCAGCCAAGTGTATGGAAAATCTTTCCTGAGGATAAAAGCTCTAAACAACTCTTTTTTTTTTAATAAAAAACTCCTTAATGTCTCCTGGCCTCTGTTGTGTGAGATAAAAGACTCCCTTTCCCATGAATGACTTACTTTCTTAGAAAATCAATATAACAGCCCCTATTATCGCTACGTCCTTTTCAAATATTGTACCTCACACTGCACTACTGACCCATTTCTTCCTGCTTCAACTCCTGAGGAGACAAGACCCCTCTACTCACTGTGCAACAACACTGCTTGTATGGAAATCCCATTCTTAACCACCCTCAACCTTTACACCCCAGGGCCACACAGCCTTGTCCTTCCGTGAGTTCCTGTTATAGCTCTAGCTTCAGATACACATCAAACAGCACATAACTGATGTTGTGGATCAGACTGGACCGCAGACCTGAGTCAGAGAAGACTTGAGTCTTCCTAGAGTCTTCCGTTGGACTATGAAATGGATTTTGCCAGCCAGGACTCTAGGCACTTAGAATATATTACTCCATTTAATTTTCCTTATCCTATGGAGATAATAATGATAACAATATCATAATCCATAGCCAGGAGAAAGTGAAAGCTTACCGTGTGCCAGACTTTATGTCTCTCAAATGTTTCACATACATTAATTCTACTTATCATCACACAAACCTGAGAGGTAAATTTGATTTTTGTTCCCGTGTGTCAAATAAAGATTCTGAAGCTCAGAAAGGTTAAATGACTGGTCTGAAGTCACATGGAGCCAGGACTCAAACCTGGATGTCTTTCTGCAAAAGCCATCTTTCCACCTCAACCAAGAAGTACAGAGGGACCACCCTCCATTTTTATGAAGAGAGCTTGGTGCTACTCCTACTGCCATGGGGCCTCTCATTTCATACCCAAGTGACCAGACAGAAGATTTTTCTAAACAAAAACAATTCCCTCCCTGGAAGAGGTTCTGGAGCCAGGTGTTGATGTGCCCTTTTTAAACTTTCTCCCCTAGCAAATAAAACAATATGTCAGGAGTTAGTAAACCTTCTCGGAGCGCTAGCTAGTAAATATTTTCAGCTTTATTTCTGGGCCACCTGGCCTCTATTACAACTATTCAACCCTGCTATTGTTATAAAAGCAGCCATGAACAATATGTCAACTAATGAGCATGGCTGTGTTCCAATAAAACTTTATTTATGGACACAGAAATTTGAATTTTATATAATTTTCTCATGTCACAAAATACTATTCTTCTTTTGATTTGTTTTTCAATCACTTAAAAATTCAAAATCCGTTCTTATGCCATGACCATACAAAAACAGATGGCCATAGTTTGCTGATTCCTGCAATATACAACAAAAGATGTCAGAAATTCTCCCAGTGAGTTGAGTGATGGAGTTTATCAAATCCATAAAAAGCCAATTCCTGAGCAACATATTGTCTGGTGGAGTTCTTTTGAACACAAGTATGCAAAGTTTAAATCAAGAGGATGAAGTAATTTTTCACTTTTCCTATGTTCCTGAAAGACTGGCTGAGGAGTAGGATATACACTCACCAAATTATGCTTAATGGAAATCCAGAGATCTGAATTTCTACCTTCTGTCTCCTGTATTGTTATAACAGGAGTGCACCCTGTTCACCTCTGTATCCCACACCCTTCTTCATGGGCATTTCCCACAAATTATAGATTTCCATAAGTGTGAAGATAGGCGGTTGGGGGACAGAGGGACAGAGGGAGGGAGGAAGAAAGGAATGGAAAAACACAGGGGAGGGAAGAGGAATGGAAGGAGAAAAGAAAGGAAGTAAGAAGAAAAAGATATTACATTTTTGTTGGTTTTTTTGGGGGGTGCTGGGGATCCATCTTGGGTCCTTGCACTTGCAAGGCAGGCAGCAGAACCACTAAACTAAATCCCTGGCCAAGAAAAAAAGAAAGGAAATAAAGTAAGGAAAAGGTATAATTTAGACTATTTCCTCTCCGTTGTTTCCCTAATGTATTTCAATAATTTATTTAATAGAGAGCTGCTGTCTAATAAGCTATAATCAATGATTCACTCCTTATCATGTTTGAGTAATGTGTTACTTCCCAGAGGTACCATCTTTGCTTCCTGTTCAACTACCTTTTATAATAATAAGGAAAATTATTTATATCTATCAATATGTCTAGGGAGACATGTTTTAGAATTTTAAGACTATCAAGATTGTGTTCCATTTTTTTCAATGCCTTAAGCTGCCTCTGAAACAGAGGTTAAAATAATCAGACTCCTGCGATACACAGTACAAGTTCCTGAGACAATGAGACCAAAGCCACCAGGCACCAGGGTTTCCGAGGGTAGAAACTGTCTTACTCACTTTGGTACCTTGGGGACCTGGCACTAGAAAGCATTCAATAAATGTTGGTGGAATGAATGAAAATTTAATGAAGGAAGTGTGTTTCACCTGAAGAGAATTAAAACCTATTTTCTAACAAAGCGACAGCA